CTCTGGGCCGGCCTTGCAAAGGCGGTTTATAGCCTTTGTTTCATTGTTTTGTTTATAGCCTCTGTTTCATTGGTCTGAGTCGCTCCACCATAGAAAAGAAACACTGAAACCCTTCACATTAACCCCTGCGCTGAGATGGAAGGGTAAGATCCTCAGTTGGCATCAAGCGATACAAGAGCTGAGGGCTCCCGCGACGCTCTCCGTGCATATGAGTTTGTGAGACCAGAGGACGGGCTCCTGGACAGAGAGCTTCCCCAAACTAGAGTTGTATTTCAAAAAAAACCTGCTTTCCCACCTGCCAGCATCATGGACAGGGGATTTCATAGCAGCCTCCAGTCTTTTCCGTACTCTATGAGTTCTGTGGTATTCCTTTAATGAACGGTGATCTCGTCGGAAGGCTATAAAGCACGGATTTCTTTTCTCCCAAAATAAAGAGATACTTATTGGAGCATCAGGCGGATCCTGAAGCCTAAGGTGACCCATCTGCAATACATCTGCCTCTGCCTTTCAGAAGTCAGTGGAATACACGGACCTATCGCTGTGCCGCTCTGCGAATCCCCTTTCAAAATATACTGCATGCAAAATAACTCGCAGGGATTTAAATATGTTAATAACTTAAGAACCTAAATAAGCTGATATTTGATGTGACCTACATTAATGGGGGGGCATTACATACCAGATAAGCAGAAAGTTCTCATCTATTGTATAATACATGATTTATTCATACCATAAATATATTGAGGAGAGGATATGCTCTGGCATTCTGTCTACTTACTTTGCCAGCAGGAAGGAAAAAAAAAAAGAATGATGTAAGAAGATCATTCTGGTGAGAAGATATTCATATCATAACAGCAACAGACTTAGTGGCAGGGCTGCCAGATACTTCTCTATGGTTGGAAGGACGTAGAGAAAAGCACGTAGGTTGCACCACAGTGCACCCATAACTCTAACTACCAGCCTAAGTGTGGGAGCAGTTCACAGAAGAGGCTAATGGCTTTACCCTGACTGATATCATTGCATTAATAAAAATCATCAATAAAAG